AAAAAAAAAAAAAAAATTTAAATGAACATTACTAGTGGCTACACAATTGAAAAAATGTCTCTCCCTCCCCTAGCAAATATTAACTGCCTGTAGATCTTCATGGAGGATACATTTTAATACTTTTATTTTCAATCAGTTGGAAATTTCTGGTTATTAGGAGGCAGAAAAACTATTCCAAAGGTTTCATAGTCTTTAATTCTTGTCAAATAAAATCTGCATACTACTTTAGCTGCTTCAGTAACTGTGTGAAGGTAGAAATCTTTAAAGATTCAAATGTTTTGGATCCCTGAGCTGTGTGTGCCTGGTTGTTATCTTAGTGTATGTAATGGAAAGAGTTCCCTGAACCTGCATTGAACCTCTAGAGGGAATTTTCAGGTTATAATTCCAAGAAGTTGAAGAACATTTCTGGATAGTGACTTCAGGGAAATCTCAGGGGTAGAGTTGGGTTTAAGTGCACACACTGAAAGTTACTCAGACTTTCTGCCTGTTACATACTCTTTGTAGATGCCCATTATGGTGAATAAATCTCTTTCCTATTTTCACTTGCTTAATTTAGAAAAGAAAAATGCTACAAGGAGTCATTTGCATATGTTATTCCTTCTCTCCTAGTACCTACATGGGAAGTGTCCAGTAACTTTGGTTTTAATTCTTTCTCATAAGAAGAAAGAATGTTTGCTTGGTAACCAGGAAGTCTAGGTCCCAGACCCCCTAAAACAGCATCTACAATATTCATTCAGAATTAACAATGAATGGAGAAAAACTTAAACAAAGAGGTTGCTTCTTGTTTAGTCTTCATAATTCAAGTAACACAGAGAACGTTCCCAGTAAATATGTTATTTGAGTTTCCCTGGATTATCAGAGTAGTGTTTATTATATTCAATAAATAGCTCCAGTAAGCCAGGTGTGTTGGTGCATGCCCTTAATCCCAGCACTCAGGAGGCAGAAGCAGACAGAATTCTGTGAGTTTGAGGCTAGCCTGGTCTACAAAGTGAGTTCTAGGACAGCCAGGGCTGTTACACAGAGAAACTCTGTCTCTAAAACCAAAAGATTAAAAAAAAAAAAAAAAAAAAAAAAAAGGTAGCTCCAGTAAGTATTTACTTCCTTTTCTTCCTAGGTTCTCCTGACTGTGAAAACTTTATCCTTACCAAGTGTGATGGTTCCATAACAGATAGTAGTCCCCTCTTTGGACTTGACTCTGAAATGGTAAGTAATGCTTTGATTTTTTTGGAGCATGTTGCAAACTATAGTGTAAGATGATTTCTTGAGTTCAGTGAACCAGTGAACCTACGCCTTTCTTAGTTTAAATCACTGAAAGTAGGCCCCTTGGGAAAATACTTGGATCTATATTCCAAATGAAAAATTGTCTTAAGTTTTCTTTTTCTTTTTCTTTTTTGAGACAGGGTTTCTCTGTGTAGTTTTGGTACCTGTCCTTGATCTCACTCTGTAGATCACACTGGCCTCGGATTCACAGAGATCTACCTGGCTCTGCCTCCCGAGTGCTGGAATTAAAGGAGTGTGCCACCGCTGCCCGACCAGTCTTAAGTTTTTTAAGTAGTTTCTAACACATTACCAGAAAATATTGGTTTTTTGAACAGATATTCTATTCTGTGGCTGCCATGAAGATTCTGCCTTAATTACTATGAGTAGCTGGAGTTTTCTCCAGTCCTGCCTGGCCCTCAGTCAGGACAAATCTCTCTCACCCGCCAGTCCCACAGCCGCTTAGACCCAACCAAGTAAACACACAGAGACTTATATTACTTACAAACTGTATGGCCATGGCAGGCTTCTTGTTATCTAATTCTTATATCTTAAATTAACCCATTTCTATTAATCTATAAGTTGCCACATGGCTTGTGGTATCTTTACATGTTGCTTGTCATGTTGGCGGTTGGCAGCATCTCTCTGACTCAGCCTTCCTGTTCCCAGAATTCTCTTCTCTCCTTGTCCCACCTATACTTCCTGCCTGGCTACTGGCCCATCAGCATTTAATTTATTAACCAATCAGAGCAACACATTTAACATATAGAACATCCCACAGCAATTATGGGCTTAGGTTTTGCACACTGAAGATTAGAAGCAGGATTTCCCTGCTAATTTAGTAATTCTTCCAAAGACAAGTACATCCTTTTCCTGTAGTACTATCAAATAGTTTTGATTCTTGTTAGTTTGTATACTAGTCTTGTCTGTTAATGACTGTCACTTTGAGTCCCCTAACCCCTTTCTGCCTTAGTTTTTCCTCCTATGAAGTCGGTAACAATTAAGGCTATGCTATAAATTTAGAATGTGCTTAGTAAAAGTGGTGGTTCTTAGCCATAATGCTGGGTAATACATATTCTATCGATGATAGGTGCAATTATGATTGATACTATTATCTTCGTTTAAAAAATAAGTAAAACAAGATCCCCCTGTATAGCTAAAGTTGACTTTGAACTTTTGATTTTGCTTTAGCTTCCCTAGCCATTTATCTTCCTCAAAAAAAAAAAAAATTCCAGAGCAATTATATTGCATTGCTTCCATTAAACGTAATGTTCAGCAAATATCCCAGCTTCAGTTTTATTCATCCTGGATCTGTTAGTAAGCAAGCATCTTTGCAGTTGCTGGCAGGACTCTTGGTAGCTGATGGTAGGTGGTAGCTGATACAGTGTACATAATAAGGGGAAGCAATGGCTTCTGCAGTTCAGCAGTATTTTGTGTTTTAGTGCCTTACATCCAAGGGGGAAGAACTAACACGCATCTCAGTGGTTGCTGAAGAAGGCCATTGTATTATGGATGAACTGGTTAAACCTGACTTCAAGATTCTGGACTACCTTACTAGGTATTTTGTTTTGTTTTTCAAGACAGGGTTTCTCTGTGTAGCAGCCCTGGCTATCCGGGAACTTGCTCTATAGACCAGGCTAGCCTTGAACTCACAGAGATCCACTTGCCTCTGCGTCCCAAGTACTGGGATTAAAGGCATGTTCCACCACTGCCTGGCACTAGGTATTCTTTTACCTCACCCAATTCTGGTTCTTCCTATAACCATTCCAGAATGGAATGTGACTTAACAGGAATGGTCCACAACTTCAGCTTCCTGGGTTTTATCTCTTTATTTTCTCATAAAAGGTTAAGTCAACACCTGCATATATCTTAATGCTGAAATTGCATTATGTCAATGTATTATACTTTTACCTTGTTCTTTTAATCTTATTGTGATAAGTCAGCAGAATATTATCTGGCTTATCTTAGATTCTTGCAGTTATACTTGTTTTCTAGCAACTGCCACATAGTTGGAGAAGAAATTTTGTGTTCTGGCCAGACCTTGCTTAAGTATCTGTAAACAATTAATTGGCAGTCAAATGATCCTAATGCTTATCTATGTTGACTCCTCAGCAAATGTTTTCCATAACCGAAAATCTGAAACCCTAAATTTAGTCTGTATTCCACCCTCCTTCTTAAGACAGAGTCACACTATGTAGCCTGGTATTTTAGTTAGGGTTTCTGTTGCTGTGAAGAGACACCATGACCACAGCAACTCTTATAAAGGAAAACATTTAATTGGGGTGGCTTGCTTAACTTTAGAGGTTTAGTCCATTATCGTCATGGTGGAAAGCAAGGCAGCATGCAGGCAGACATGGTGCTGGAGCTGAGATTCCTTACTTCTTCATCCAAAGGCAGCTGGGTGTGGCTTGAGCATATATGAGACCTCAAAACCTGCCTCTACAGTGACAAACTTTCTCCAACAACAAGACCACACTTCCTATTAGTGCCACTCCCTTTGGGGGCCGTTCTCTTTCAAACCACACCTGGCTTGGCGTTTGCTACATAGACCAGGCTGGCCTTGAACACAGAGATATACTAGCCTCTGCCTCCCAAGTGCTGAGGTTAAAGTCATGTACCACCACACATGACCAATTTTAGTCTTTTAATTTTTATTTTTGCAAAAATCAGCATAAAACTTCAGAAATATACGGTGACTGGGCAAAGAAACAACCAATGTAACATTACTTTTGTTGGCTGAAGTTGTACCCATGCATTCATGTTTACTTAGGCATAGAGAGACCATGTTAATGATTTAGGCTATTCTATTAGCAGACCTGATAATTAGATAGTATTTCTAGAGAATAGTCATATGCAGCAAAAAGATAGGTGAAAGCATATTTGTCATAGTATTGTAAAAAGATGAGAATATAAATCTTTTTAAAAGACATTGCAAATGTCAAATTAGAGGATAAGTTTTTAAACAACTGCAAAATAGAATCTTACCATTTAAAAGGATATACTAAAATTCATTTATCGACATTTGAATGTAATTACAAAACAGCACATATGAAATATATCTATAAATATATACATACCAAAAAAGTGGAAGGATATTTACTAAAATGGAAAAAATTATAATCCTTGGATAATTAAGTTATGGCTTTTTTTATTATTGTTGTTGTTTATTTTAATTCTAGCATTTCTCCCTTCCCTTTGTGCCCTCTCTGCTCTCCTTCTCAAATTCTTGGCCTATTTTTTTCATCAGTTGTTACTGATGTGTGCATATATGTATTTGTATATACCTATAAATTCTCAAATATAACCTGTTGAGTCCATATAATGTTATCTGTAAGTATTTTTTCAGGGTTGTCTGTTTGGGCACTAGACAACCCATTCATAAGCTCTTCCCTGGAAAGGGCCATCTCTTCCACTCTTATAGGTGGAGTTTTTCTGTGTCCCTGCAGTCATTCCCAGATAACCACAAGAGACTTAGTATTAATTATAAATGCTTGGCCTATAGCTTAAGCTCGTCTCCAGCCAGCTCTTACAACTTAAGTTAACCCAGTTTTATTAATTCACATTCTGCCACATGGCGTTGCCTCACTTTCGTCTTGCACCTCCTGTTTCCGGCTGATGACTCCTCTGACTCTGCCCTTCTTTCCAGTGTTCTCTCTGCAAAATCCTGCCTAGCTGTTGGCCAATCAGCTTTTTTTTTTTTTTTTTTTTTTTGGTTTTTCG